CTAATTCATTTAAATTAAAAATTGAAATAAACCAGGTCGTTCGCGCCCGTTCACAAAATGCATTTCGAGGTGCGCGCTCTCAATGGTTGGTCTGTTCTGTTGGTTGGCGGCAACCGCCGTGTGGGCTAAACACGTCGAGATCTCGTCATGGCAGATGTTTGAGGCGGCGAAGAGGTGGCTCGAAGAGAAGCACAATTTCACTGTCGTTGTCGGCTGGATCTCGCCCTCGCACGACCACTACGTCACCGGCAAGGTGCTCTTTGTTCTCCATCACCGCACACACACACGCCGCACACACACGCCGCACACACGCACACACGCACAACTAACGGCGTGTGTGTTTGGCGGGTAGATGGTGAACGTGCGGTCGTACCCGATCAGCGGACACCACCGGGTGGAGATGTGCCGCGTCATGGCCGACAAGTCGGACTGGATCGAAGTCTCATCCTACGAAGCCCGGGCCATGGGCTTCATCAATTTCCCCTCGTACGCCTCAGGTCACACGCTCTGACACACGCACACAATCTGACACGACATCAACGACATCACCGAACAGTGTGGCGCGATACCACGCCGAGTATGTGGCGGAGCACGTGCAGGAGAAGGTGAGGGTCATGTACCTGGGCGGGGCAGACCTGATTGAGAAGTACTTCTCCTGCATCACTCTTTCTTTTTTGTTTATTTGTGTTTTTTTTATATATATCAATGCCTTTATTTAATTTTAGTAAATATACATGAAATGTTGCTGTGTGGGACATGTTGATGCTGGTTGCCGACGCACAGGTGCGGCCTCCTCTTTGGCATCTCTGCGGGGAGCAAGACGATACCAGGTTCGGACACACGCCCACAGACATCGCCGGCACGCAAACCCACGCACACGCGTGGCTTACTCGATGTGGCGAATGGCAGTGGTGGCGGTGGGTCGGCCGGGCTACACGACGCCGCTGAAGGAGATGGTGGCGGCTTCGGTGCGACGGCGCGCCAAGCAGGGCATGACCCAGGACATCTCGCACCTGCTCTACATCGTGCTCACCGAGACGCTCAACTTCTCTTCGACCAAGGTGCCACACGACACACTCGACACACGACACGACACTCATGGCACGGTACACACTCACGACACACGACACACGACACACGACACACGACACACGACACACGACACACGACACACATAGGTGCGGGAGCTGCTGGAGCGCGGCGAGTCGGTGGCGGAGCTGTGCGGCGAGGAGGTCGAGGCCTACCTCCAGCACCACGACCTCCACAAGGCCTTCCTCAAGTGATGAAATGTGAAAAAAAGGAACAATTAATTGCCAGCAGTGGACCTTGCGTCGTTCGTATCAGAGGCCAAACAAGAGCCCTCCCTCTTCATCGTCATCGTCATCATCGT